TAATTGTGATTGAGTGTGTTGAGTCCAAATGAGATTTGATAGCACCACTCTGTTTATGCATCGTAAGCCTTCTAGTCAGTGAGGTAGTAGTAATCCCGATATATGAGTCATGTTGACGTGCACAGCCGTCAAAGGGGTAATTAAATTCATATATTACGTGATTACGCTTTAACGAGTTTAAAGCGAAATCACGAACGAGCTTTTACACGCATCTTAAAATTGCAGAAGCAGTCCTAATCGACATCAATAAACCAAAAATAAATATACTACAAAAAATGACAACCTCACTTCCAACCCGGCGCTTAACCAACAACGAAAACAAAGAAGTAATAATAAAAACTAGCATCGTAAATAGTGACAAAGAAGAATATGATGCTATCGATGAAGAAAAGGAGACCAAAGAAGATGACCAGCCAATTAAGAAACCTGACACCTAATTCGCATCAAAGTTCAATTTTACAACACCAAAGTTAATCTTGACAAAGTCAATATTTCCCTATATATACAACAAGGAGCACGAATTCGAAAAATAAGTTTATTTTGAATTTTAATAAACTAAACGTTCACCAAAAAACTTTAGTGAGAAAAATCGAAAAAACGAACTACAAACATATTAACGCCAAACATTCGGTAGAATTTATAGAATATTGTAAAATATATATATATACACTCATATGCATACGATTTATATATAAAGTTTCAGTTTCATATGCATAGATTGTATATGCATACCAGACGCAGATGTACTAGACGTATAAAGATGCGTGTGTTTGATCGGAGGAAGTAATTGGATGATGTTTCGTCGGTAGGGAGATGACGTCAGCAAAATAACAAACGTCATCAAGTGGATGATAATAATTATGTATATAATAATCAAAGGAATAAAAATACGAATAATAATGCCTTAAAAATTCTGATAATAATAATAATAATAAAATAATTATAAAGCCGAAGATTTTGATGATGATGACATTTGCACGTAATCAAAATAAGTCTGGCCTGTAACAACAGTTCACATCTAAACCTTGTGATTTGATGTTTCCGTTTAAAAAACATCCATCCATTTAATACATCTTGAACAAATTTTAGATTTATAATAAAAGATTTTATCGAAATATTGAAAGAAATTGAATTACAAATTATGATGCAGTTTAAAAATGAAATGAACTTCTGAAAAATTCTGTCAATCCCAAACTTGGAATGCCCTGCACATCGTGCTCAGCTAGCCACCGACAAGTGCTGATGGCCATGTTTCAAACTTATTCTTCAAGTTAGTTTTTTTTATTTTGTATAGGTTTGTTTGTTTTAATCTGTTCTTTAACTTTAACGTTTGATATGCTCTGCATAAGTTTCAACAACATAAAGATTACAAATTAAATTTACGTAAAGCTATATTTTCTTTTAAGATTTCTTAATTAAGGTTGTGTTATTTGGCTCAAATGTTTTTTCACACACTTGTGATTTAGATGTGATTAAATCCTAACTTGAATGTGTTGATTTCAAAAAAGTGCTTAACATTCTACAAAGAACTGTGCTTGCTAACGCCAATATGACAAAAATACAAATAATTAATAAAAACAATTGAATGATGAGCTAGAAATCAATGTTTGAAAAGAAACTTCACTTGCTCGCACTGCTTCATTCTGACTTAAGAATTTGTTATGCTAATAACGTTGGTGCAGTAACAATTTTTAAACAGTATTGTATAACGCGGAAATTTATTTCATCTTTATTGATGATGATTACGATTTTTGATGTCTTGGAGTTGAAAATGAAAACGGAAATGTTGGTTTGCTAGGAATAAGTGTCCGATGTTTTAAAATAGTTGACGTACGTAGGGAGTTCAAATATTTCAGAATATCGATACGGTGTGTTGTTGTTGCAGCTGTTGTTGAAACATTCAAATATCAAAAGACAATAAGTTGGCGTCTGTCAAACAGATAGCAAACTCGTGATTCATTACATTCAATAATTTATAATCGTATAAATAAAAACAGTAAACAAATATTAAACACGAATGAATAATTCAAACACACTTACGTACGCATACAGCAAACTCCATGAGATGCTACAATAATTATAAAAAAAGGACAAAACAGCAAAGGGAAGAGGACGAAGAACAAAAAAAAATGATGAACTAGCTAAGATAGCTAAGAAGAGTTTAATGTATTTCTATTGATTTCGTGGTAGTTTATGAGTTGCTGTTGATGATGTTGCGCCTGAATGATCTGCACCTTCTATAAAAATACTTTTAATCGAATTCTTTTTTGAAAGCACAATTACACAAACACTGAACGTTATCAATTTTTTTTATATTTATTTATTATAGTTATTTTATATTATGGGTTATTTTTTTATTTTCCAGCTACAATGGATATGTGTTCGCGTTGATTGTCATAATAATAATCATAAACAACATCACCATACACGGTAGCTAATTAATCTTTTAGTTTTATTTCAAAAATTTGCACAACTTTTCTATACCTGACAGTTATATTCGCAATCACAATATTAATAGTGACATCATCCACACACATCCAACTTCATTCACACACACACGCACACGCACGCACACCTACATCTAAGTTCAACAGCACACTCCACACACACACATCCAACATTTATCACACACGCACATATACACACACAAACACTCTCATCATCAATCTAACACATTCAACATCTAGCTTATTCAACAAGGCTTTTAAGATTTACGTGTGAATTTACATTAAAATGTACCGCAGACAAATGTGCTGGTCTGTTGCGAGGTGTCCAATTTTGAAACTTTCCATATTGCCCGCCTGTTGTCAGCGGCTGGATTTTGTTATTTCTTTGTAGGACTCCTGATTGTTTTTTCTACAATATTTTCAGCTACAGAATTAAAGGAAGAAACCATTAAATGACAACGTGACTCTGAAAAAACATGAATTCAAGACTATAAGTCAATTGAGAAACAAACAAACAAACAAAAAAATAAACAATCAAAAAACAAGCGAAAATAAACAAATAAAAAAGAAAAAAGGTAATGAATGAGTGAACCAATACGTAAAAAAATGATGAACAAAATGATCCAAGATCTTCCTAATAGATGACCAAGCAGCAAACACTTTAGACACAATGCATCAGGGCATCTCGTTCCGGAGGTACTGACCCAATTTTCTTGTCTCTTAACGGGGGACACTGGTGAGAGAATTCTGCGACGAAACTCCCACCGAGAATTGCCACTGCCTGCCTAATACTGCCCACACTCGTGTAAACATCTCTCTGATTATTTCTCCACCAAACAGTTTCCAAATAATTTTCAACATTTCATTATTTTTCCACCAAACATTCTCCAGACAATTTGGTTGACATAATAATAGGTTCAGAAATTTCTGAGAATCTATCTCAAAATAGTTTAACAACTGACAGAACATTTCTTGATCGTGTAGAGAATATTATAAAGTTTGAAAAGCCAGTGTCAAAAGGAAATTAGCTTTTTGGTCATGAAAATATTTCTGTTATATTTTATTTCTTATTTTCAAGTAACTTTTTAAAAGTTGTTAATTTTTGCCTGTACCAGCAAATAGAACAAGCTGAGCAAAGCAGGCGGAGACATTATTGCAATAAACGAAAACATTCTGTCAATATTGTTTTATGACGTTGCAAGAAGAGGGACAACATCCGCTGCCGTACGCACGACAATACAGATTACACATATCATTTGTTGTTCACTTAGAACATAAAAACGCTGATCAGTACACAGACAATGCAACAAAACTTAACAACAACCAACAACACACGCAACTACATACAACAACACACAACAACACGCAATTACATACAATAACATGCAACGACATACATCAACACATAACACTACGTAACAAACAACACTACATAAAAACATAAAACGTCAAACATGAATATAAACTAACATATCATAGATTGTACAGCCCAAAACATGCACGACAAAAACAGCACACAGCCCTACAACGACGAGCATGCAATAAAAAGTACAAATATAATATTAATTGCCATTTGTGAAAGTAGATGTACATTAACCTTAAAGCAGAATAAAATAAAACAACAAAACTATGAATTCTGAGAATGCAACGTGTTTTACTTACGAGACACAGGCACAACTGCAGACAACTTAACAACGCACAACAAAACAACATAAAAACTTGCAACAACAACACGCAACAACTCTACAACAACAACGACACACACACTCACGCACACGCACACACATAGTTACAAGAGCCAGCCACAATGAACAAACCAATAAATCCAACTTATCCAATGAAGCACAGCGTTTAGGAACAAATATTGCATCTGTTGGTTGTCAGATGTGAACAGCTTCGCGGCACATCAACAATGGAACAAAATTCGATCAACTGGCTGTTTGTAATGCAATTTGCAGAGGTTCTGATGGAATGAAAACGACTGTAACAAACAGCAAAAACTCCTCGGACGATGATAACAGAAAACATGGCCAACGGATATAAGGTCTGCAGTACCCGCAATAAATGTTCTCAACAATTTTTACAAAACCTCTACATCTACAGTCATCGTTCAAGTTGGTTTCTTGTGTTGCGTTTTTTATTTCAATTAGATTCTTAATTTTATTCTGTTGACGATAATTGCTTGCTGATCTTATTTGGTGTCGAAACAGTGGTTTAATAATAATAATAATATTAACAGCGACAACAACAACAGCAATAATAATAATATTAATAAAACCAAAATTTTATTGAAAACGCTTAATAAATTGATTGAAAACATCCTGGACGTATTTAGAAGAAGAAGTTGTTGCTGGTTGATGCAACAGAGTCTAGACCAGACCAGGAGACATTTCTTGTTGCCGTCACAACAGGATCCAGTTGCTGAAAGGCTGTAGCATCACAAAGTTTGATAAATCGAGCCTAACTAAAAAATCGTTTCTTTTGATATGAAACAATATTCTATCACTTCTATCACTATTCTGTCTACAAGATGTCATGGAGCATAGAAACCAGACTGTAGAGATGTAGAGATTTATAAGAGATGTCTATTAATTAAAAAAGATTGGTGGCTTAAAAATATTAAGATTAAAAAAATGATTAAAATAGATATTTATCAGGGAAACTAAAAAAGAGAATAAAAATTTTTGTGCTAATTGGATCGTGAATAATCGCTTCACTTGAAATTACAATAATGAGTCACATGTCACATTGTCTTGAAAACTTCACAACATGGATCGTTTTAAGACAAAAATAAATAGAGCAGATAATACAACAAACTAAATTTAAAGCATCAGCAAAAACTTGTGAACTGTTTCCTCAGGCCACCTCCAAATCAAATCATTCTCAAGTTATATTTTAATTATTTTTCAAACTTATTTCTTCAAAGAACTAATTTTTAATTAAAAATTTTGGATCTTTTTTTCTATATTAAAAATTTTATCAACTGAGAACATATGAAGTTGGCACGCATCTGATAAACTATTTTAGTGGAGTTCCATTATTTAATTCGTTTTAATCACAGACACCATCCAAGCTAATTTCTATCATCTATTGCTACAACCGTTGCTGCTGTTTTGTGTTAATTTGTTGATGTTGTTGTTAATGTTGTCGATGTTGTTGTTATGGTTGATGTTGTTGTTATTGATGTTATTGTTGATGATAATGATTTTGTTGTTGTTGTTGTTGTTGCCCTGCGTCAGACATCATTGGAGGGATTCAGACGAGGCCGTAGCCAGTTAGCCACGGCCACCGGGTTACGCCAGAGATCTATTATCGTGAAATGAGTTGGGTTCTTTGGGCAGCTAAACAGATGGGGAACATCATCAGGAAGTAATTGGCATATTGGACAGATGTTGCTGACCCTACTGTCTATTTTCGATCTGTAGCTGTTGAGGGAGATGCAGTGACCAGAGCGGAGCTGGGCCAGTTTTCTTCTCAACGCTCTGGGCAGACTCTCCTCTGCCTTGTCTATTTTGGGTGTTGGAGGTGGCCATCCGTTGAGCAGCACAGCGGCATGATATGTCTCCAAGGCGAGTTTCGCAGCACTGCAATGCAAGGCCGATGAAGCTGCCTTTAACGCTCTGCTGTCATACCCTCCCTGCAAGACATAATGATTTTTTTGATGTTGTTGTTGTTGTTGTTTATGTTGTTATGGTTGAGTTTGTTGTTATTGATGTTGCTGATGTTGTTGACGATGATGTTGCTGTTGTTGAAGTTGTTGATGTTATCGATGTTGTTGTTATTTCTGATGTTGTTACTGTTGTTGTTGAAGTTGTACTTGCAATTGATGTTGTTGTTGCCGATGTGGTTATTGATGCTGTTGTGCAGAATTAGTAATCAATCTATAATGTTGATAGTTATGATGTTATGGAAGATTTGTTGTTGTTGATGTAGTGACGGAAGTTGTATGTTGATGTAGAATTCTGTAAATTCTGACGTTTGTCTGATTAAGTTTTACAACGTTGTTTCATCGCTCTTGCTATTGTTTTTGTTTTGGTTGATCGGAAAAAATGTCCGTAGAGACGTGATTCATTTTGTGGTAACTGTCAATTTTGATCTCTTATTTCATGTGTTACCAGATGATTTATTATCTGCTGTGCAATATCCAGCTTGCATTTTGTTTTCAATGAATAAATTTTTCATTTATTTGAATTTTATTCATATTTAAATTAAATCAAATTAAATTAATTCCGCCTCGCCATCCATGCGGACATCAGTGGAGGCAGGTTGCAGCTTAAAATTTCCCGAACTCCTCCGTTGTCACGTTCCACCGACCTAGGGACACTTTTATGAATTTCAAAACAAAATCTTGTTTGTTTTGTAGATTTTAATTAATTTAATTAAAATAAATTTTCAAATTGTATCAAAAACTAAAAATGATTCGATGGATGAATTAATTTTTATAATTAAATATCACTTTGAAGGAGGAAGTTTTTTGCGGGTTAACAAGAATTGAAAGTGAAATGCTTGGTAGGAGTGCATGTTTTTTGGATAGGAGTGCATGCATTTGTGGTAGGAGTGCATGCTTTTGTGGTTGGAGTGCATGCTTTTGGGGTAGGAGTGCATGTTTTTGGGGTAGGAGTGCATGTTTTTGTGGTAGGAGTGCATGCATTTGTGGGTTTGTGAGTGCCAGGCAGTTAACGACAAAAACCCTTCACAATCCAAAACATAACTAGACTTTAAGCAGATACATACAATTTTGTATGTATGCAGATATATACATTTTTGTATGTATGTCTCTGAGTGTGTATGTGACTTATAAATTAAGCATGATTGGAAAGTGAAATGTCATTAAAAGTACTATTTTAATTTTATTTTAATTCTATTTCTTTTTTTTTAGTTAATGTTAATTTCGGTAAAAGATTTGATATTTTTATTAAATGGAACACTCTGATATGGGCACATTGGTTTTGTCACCCGCGCTATTAAAATCTTTATGTCATGTTATGTCATAATATGTTATGCTAAGGCTATATTTCCCTAGCAAAATGTTTGAAATGATTTTTAAATTAAAAATAAAACTGAGTTAATTAATCCACTTCACCATCAAAATCGACTGAACTCAATAATTAGCAGCCCATGTAAAACGGACTTTGAAGGCAGGGACACATTCGCAGGATCAAATTGGGAGGTCAGAGGACCTCGAAGCACGAATGACCGGAAGTCCATAATTATTTTTAGAATGCGAAAATAAAAACTTTTCCGTTAAGTCTTCCATACGTTATTTTTTCTACATTTAGAAGGTCTGTGGTTATCGCCAGCAAATAAAATTATTGCAATATGAAATGTGTTTGCATCAAAGACTTTTAATGAAGAACTGAATAACCTCGCTGATGAGGAAGCAACCTTGGTATGCTGGGGTGAGTTTCATCGGTGAGAATACGAAGGAAATGGTGAGGGCAACAATTGTTGAATGAAAATTAAAAAAAAACTGATTAACGGTAAAAATAACGGAATTGAAAAATAATGGTTCAGATGCCTATCAGACTAAACTGAAAGCTGAATGATTGAATATTCATTAAATGGTTGAGTGACTGAATGAATGAATGAATGAATGAATGAATGAACGGTGATATGTGGACCTGTGTTCAATATTCAGCCACTGAAAAGATTATCACGACTAAGTTTATTGACCCGTGTTTTGTCTATTGTTTTCAGTATTTTTAATCAAGACGTTTAAGTTTTTTATTTTGTTTGAATTTATTTTTTATTATTTTGTTTTTACTTTTATTTATTTCACAAGTATGTTAATATATATATATATATATATATATATATATATATATATATATATATATATATAATGTATATACAATTATTTATAAAGATCACTGCGTTTTCGGCATTATTCAACTTATAGTCGAGTTTCTCAATCAATTTTTCTAACGAGACTTTTATCGTCTTGATGAAGTTTATTAAGGTTAAATAAAAAACTTTTATTTGACATTTTTGACAAAACATTTTATTATTAATAACGTTATTATTACAGAAAAGCTCTTTTCGGCATCAACTGCCATCATCAGTGTAGTTATATAGTATTGTTCCGTCTTTGTGTTTTTGTTTTTACAGCGACTTTGATTGTAACTTAATTAGAATTAAAATTAATCATGTGTTTCTTTGTAGGAGCGCTGTTGAAGATCGCGGAAATAGCGCTTTATAAGCTAATTGATTGATTGATTGATAGGAGGAATATTGGTATTATTTAGTTAAATATTTATTGCTGGTTTACGTTTATCGATGAAAATTGATTCTGCTATCATTTTCATCGATAAATTTCTGTTAATCAAAAATATAAATAAATGCAATTGAAGAATGGAAGAGTAAATAGCAAAAGGAAAAGGAAAGAATAATTTCGTTTCTATAGTAAAGCTTTTTCATGTAAGAGATTGCACAGCTTAACTATTACATTTAAATTTAATCCATATTTTATTTATATTTAATCCATATTTTAATATATAACTTTATTTTATTTGGCATCAAAATTATTAATAAAAATTTTTAAATATAATTTTTTAAATTATTTGTTTAATAATTTATTACAATAAAAGGAAGTGCTTTTGTTGGTCATGAATATTAATAAAGAGCGGAGTCAAATTTAAAGTTTTCAATATTTTTCTATGTAAACAACATAAGCGTGGAGTGCTGAAAGTTTACCGTGATAGTGTAGGTGAATTGTTGGTTGACTTTGGTTACTGGCACCATCATATTGCCCACCGTACCATCTCAAGGACTGTGGCGTGCTTTCATCGTCATTGTAGACTTCATCGTTATTAACATGGTCATCTTTATCATCAACATCTACTTATCTTAAACATCATCATCATAACAACCACCATAATCATAAATATCATCATAACCACCAGTACTACCATCACCAACAACACCAACACTACCACCACCAACAACAACAACTGTTCTTATCATCGCTTGTTTTATGACGTAGGTATATTTAATATGGCCCCATATACCAACATCACCTGGACAACCTGCAGCATACAAATGAACGAATTAATTGAATCCATGAGAATGGACACTCACTTCTGCAACGAAACAAAACTTCCTATACAAACAAACACACAGAAGTTTTTAAACGACTTTTTACAATTTTTAACTGAACAAACGAACGAACGAACGAACGAACGAACAAACAAACATTTCATGATATTCACAATTTTTCTCAATTTTTAACGGTACAACTCAACCACTATCAATTGATTGAAATGAAGATTCACTGAAGAAAGGTTTTGAACATCTGAATCAGTCGTTATGAAATTTGAAAATTACCATTCAATGTGGTTGAATTTTTTAGAAAAACGAAAGAAGTTATTTTTTTCTTTTATAACAAGGGAGGACTGAAATGGATCTGTACTGGTGTCTGTACTGTTCTGTAGTGGGACTCGTCCTACCTCCAGTGACGGATCAAGGAAGTAAGAGAGCCGTTATCAACAGTGAACAATAGAATTGATAGGCAAAACACACTTAGCATAGGTGCTCTACTCCTTAGGGCCCATATATATATATAGATATATATATTATTATTATTAGAGAATTCGTCGGGTGAAACCATGGGGAAAAAAGATACGTCTTCAAATCTTTGCGAAACTTCTGAATAGTTAAACCAGGTTGACGGAGGCTGTATGGCAGTGAGTTCCAAACTTGTGGACCAGCAACGGAAAAATTCCTATTGGCCACCATCAAATCTGTTCTCGGCACCGATAAAAATAACTGAATCTGAACGTAATTGCAAGTGATGAATAGTTTTCGTTTTGTATAAACACCTTCCAGACAAGTAGCTTGGGCTTAAACCATTTAAACATTTGAAAACCATAACGGCAAGCTTGAAGATGGTTCTTTTTTCAATTGTGAGCCAATGAAGATCTCGTAGAGTATTACTGGATTGGTCGTATTTTAACCCTCCGGAAATGATCTTAAGCAGCACGATTTTGAATTGACTGAAGACGATTAATCAATTGATTTGAAACTCCGTAAAAAATGCTGTTGCAGTAATCCAATTTCTGAATTGCACAGAAACTATTTATGTCTGTTGGGAAAAAATATTTTCAAATATTTTCTTGAATAAATTATGGATTAATCTTTTGTTGTTTGGTTTTTTTGCTTAATTCGGCGCAAATATTGGAGAAAAACATTTTCAAAATTGTCCAAACGGAAAAATACCCTTTTAAAAATAATAACACAAAATTAAAGTTAAATTTAAGAGCAGGATCGCATTTTTTCCTTTCTTTTGCGAATCAATTTTTACGTTTTAATCACATTCCTCTTTGACGTGAGTGTGTGCCCGTGTATCTGTGTGTATGTGTGTGTTTGTGTGTATGTGTGTGTGTTTGTGTGCCTGTATATGTGTGTGTGTGTATGTGTGTATTTGTGAGTGTATATGTGTGTGATTGTGTGTATGTACTTGTGTGTGTGTGTGATTGTGTGTATGTATGTGCTTGTGTGTGTATGTGTGGTCGGCGGTCTGATTGAACATATGCGGTACATCATCATCCAGCTCCATTTGTTTGTTTGCATTCCAGCATACCAATCCAGTTGCTTTGCTTGGTTCTGCCGCTTGTGCGTGCGTGTTCATACATTTGGGATTCGCTGAAGTCTTGCGTTTGCGTGGAGTGTGGCCTGAGAAAAAATGGCGGTAATAATGGAGCAATTCAAATTAGTCAGTTTTACAGTTTGCCATTTAAAATTATAATTAAAAATCAAGGTGTCCGTAGCAAAATTTAAATTAAACTGGGATGTAAAAAATAGCGTTTTTTCAAATAAAGAAATCCATCGGTGAGAGAAAACATCTTTTATATTTATCGCTTTCAAGGGAATACAATTTGAGTTGTCCAATCATGTTTTAGTTCAAAATGCCGCTTGTCACGCGGTATTGAGATTTTTCATTTAAACTTTCCATCGCCAGCTACCATCGTTGGGGCATGAGGGGAGGGTGGTGGTGGAAGTGACTGACTGAGGGATTATGACAAGAACAAGAGTTGTTGGTGACAAACAAACAAACAAACAGACAAACAAACAAATAGACAGACAGACAAACAAATAGACAGACAGACAAACAAACAAACAAACATAATTTTAAATGTCAAAAGTTTATGAAAATTAAAAAACAATGAGCCGAAAATAAATTTTTTCTAAAAAGTGGAAAAAATTTCATCAACCATCACAGCAAATGACGAAAAAGATTATGAAATGAACTGAAAACAAGTTAAATACAAAAATCACCACTGACGCCATAAACAACAAAAGCAATAACAACAACAACAACAACAACAACATTAACACAATAACAACAACAACAACATTTACACAATAACAACAACAACATTAACACAATAACAACAACAACATTAACACAATAACTACAACAACAACATCATTAACAAAATAACAACAACAACAACATCATCAACAACAAAAACAGCACATTGAAACAACAACATCAATATCATCGTCATCATCCTTACAACCGTCCTCAACCCTTATAACCAACGTCATCATCATCATCATCACCGTCATCTTTATCATCATCATTATCATCATCACTAACATCATCATCTAGAATGATTGTTGAAATGGAAAGTCATTTTTTGATGAGTTGACGTCATTAAAGTATGCCTTTATTATTTATATTTTTATTGTTTGTATTTGTATGTATCTATATTTGTATTAATAATATTTGTATTAATTATATCTGTATCAATTATATTTGTATAAAATATGTTTGTATCAATTATATTTGTATTAATTATATATGTATTAATCATATTTGTATTAATTATATATGTATTAATCATATTTGTATTAATTATAATTGTATTAATTATATTTATATTTATTATACTTGTATTAATTATATTTTTGTTATTTTTATTAATTATATTTTTATTAATTATATTGTTGTCGTTTGTATTTGTAACTATTTATATCATATCAAATCATTAACATATTCATAACCCTCCTCTCATTATCATCATCAATCTTATTCAAATTATTCTCAATCTAAATTATTTCCTAAGTATTTATCATTATGTTATAGTATGTTGTTTTAATTAATGTGAGCATTAACATGGCTGGAGTGCAACCCAATGTACGCCTGCCTGTTCGTTATTATTATTATTATTTTAATTAGAATAATTTTAATTATTATTATTATTATT